TAAAGATAGTCCTCGACTTACAACCATTCATTTAGTGACTGGTCAGAATTACAACGCAACTAAAAAATATGACTTATGACAGTTCTTCAAACTTACAACTATGCAGCATCCCCATGGTCACATGATCAAATTCAGATGCTTGGCAACTGGCCAATATTTATGACAGTGTAGTGTCCTGGGATCATGTGATCCCCTTTTGCAACCTTCTGACAAGCAATCAATGGAGAAACCAGTTGCATTTAACAACTGTGTTACTAACTTAAAAACTGCAGCAATTCACTTAACTGGGGCAAGAAAGGTTGTAAAACCAGGGAAAACTCACTTAATAACTGTCTCACTTAGCAACAGAAATTTTGAGCTCAATTGTGGTTGTAAGTCTAGGATTACCTGTACCTGTTTTAGGCTTAGACATATTTTTGTTGGCATTTTTGCTTTGTTGGTGTTATGCGAACACCATCACTTTTAAATTGAGAAGTAAATTTCATGCTTATTTTTCAGTTATTTATACTGTAGCAGAAGTTAATTCCAGTATATTTATTCATTCTACACAAAAGAAGAAAAACAGTGGACATACCATTGCCATCAACATATGCCAAGGAAATTTTCATTTTGAATAGAAAGAAACTACTGCTGTAGATTGTTTTTCTAAATACATTGGAAGCTTATAGGATTTGTGTTTTTTGGATATTAAATTATTTCCATAGGTCTCATCATGAAAATATTTCAAAGACAGAAAACAGAGTGCATTTTTTCTCTGATCCAAAATTTGAATTATACGTATTCAGAACTTACTTTCTCCATCACCATCCTTATCGAATTCTTCAATCATTGCCCGAAGTTCTTCATCACTCATGTTTTCCCCGAGTTCTCTAGCTACACGACGCAGATTTCTTAAACTTATTTTACCTGAATCATCATCATCAAACAATTTAAATGCCTTGAGTATCTCCTCATGTGGATCTCTTTCAAGTATCCAGTCTGTCACTAAAATGGAAAAAATAAAACGTTACATCTTTTACAAAAACATTTTTTACTGCTGGAATTGTATTCTCCCCAGAAATAATTTTATTTTTGTTTCATACATCAACTTTATGACTTAATTTAAAAGATGCATTTTTACCATCAACCAAAATCAATCTGTACTTGCATGCACATTGGTTTAGTCTCTAGTAAAAGCAGTAAAATAAATCTATGGTTCTTATTACCTACAGACATGGTGAGAAGTTACATTAAGAACAAATATAAAATATTATAAGGCATGATTAAAGTTACATTTTTCCCATAAGTTAAGTAAAATAATAGAAAATATAGCTTTCATTTTGAAATCCTGATGGTCTGTTTTCTCCTGCCTAATATATTAAAAAAGTCTCTTTGTCAATAGCTTAATGTTTTCGTATCTATTAAAATACATATAAATTAAACTTTGATTACCAATTATTGCTTTCTTATCAGTAATTTGTTTAAATTCCAACACCTACCAACTTCATTAAAGTCATCAAAGGAGATTTTCCCACTTCCTTCCCGATCATAATCTTTAAGTATCTTTAATACATCTGCCTTTTTCACATCAAAACCTAAGGCTCTCATTGCCACCTTCAGGGGAAAGACAGAAATACAACATTTCAATTTGGCACATAATAACTTTTCTTTGTAAATTAAATTTAGGTAAGAGGTACTATAGTAATAAGAAAACCAGAAAAATTTGGGAAAACACCATTAATTCATTATTTTCCAGGGACACAACTATTTATGTTCTAAGGGAAGTTCTTTTCACCTTGATATCAATAACAAATTAAATGTGACAAATAATTTAACTGATTAAATACAATTTTCAAATCTCTTACTTTACTGATTATGTAAGTAATTGATCAGTTCCAGGAGACTAGCAGGAGGGCAAATGTTCTACTCTGAGGAATCTAGCACTGCTGAATTCAGAGATAGGAGAAACCACCTAAAGGCCTTTCTTCTTTCATTTCCTCTGATTTGGAGTCAGTCTGAAGGTAGGGGGGGAGCAACCATGATAGTATTTCCTTCTAACAGGACATCATACATTACTGTAGAAGTTACTGCAACAATTAAATAAAAGCTATTCATGTATCATAATTAGTTCTCATTTATATTACAATATTATTTACAGCAACCCTGCCAACATTGATAGCTCCTAGTGTGTGTGATCCTCAATCCCCTAAATTTTAAATAATAACCAAGGTGGGTATAAATTCTAGATTGGTCCTTATATTAGGAAACTGCCATGGTTGGAAATTTTTGAAAAATGTCTACAATGTGAATTAGTAATGCAATGTAATTATTCTTCTGAAAAAAGTTTGATGAAATTAACTAAAAAAAATCCTGTCCTCCAATATGAACCTACTCACAATCTTAAACTATAACCTTATCAGTTACATAGGAATAAACCATCCTGAAGTCAGAGAGCCATATTTAGTAGCAAATTGAATTTTATATTTCATATAGATTTGAATCTCAATTTAATTTGTGAGAAAGATGACAATACAAGTAAGGTGACTCAATATTGGTCCTTATATTAGGAAACAGTTTCTTTCTAGTGTTTTCTTCACTTTTAACATTTTTGACTGAAGTAGTGTGGAATTGAAATAAATGTGGGTCTGCTCTAGGCCCCCCCCCCCCCCCCACATTCTCCTAAGACCTTTACTGAATTGGGACTTAGTTGAATTGACAAAGCCTTTAGTGTTTTACTTTTTGTCTCTGTAAGATATAGTAAGGCTTTAAGGTTTTATTGCAAATATTGTTCTTGGCCATACTTTCATCTCTATACTTCAAAAACTCTCCTGTCTGTAATCTTTAACTGGGTGATAGGGCAAAGCACTTTGAAACAAAATACCTCAGGTGAACCAACTTATAGAATGTGTCCAAAATCCAGGACCCAGGACTCCCATGGAATTGAAATTTGCCAAACTTTATAAAAAATTTTATGATATAAAATTATCATAAAGCATTTTATGACATAATACAAAATATCATAAAACATTTCTTGTGGTCAACTCTTGATGTTTGACTGTGTTATACAGGTCAACATGGAGTACTTTCAAGGCAGATACATCTCTCCCTGAATTTTTAAGAACTTTTCAAGAACATTAAAAGCTCTGACATAGTTGAAGAAATACCTCTGAAATGATCACCCAAGGAATCACAAGTTGTCTAATATAATATTCTAACAGCTTCATTTGCAATCTTGTCATTCCCAGATTAACATACAATTAACTACCTATTGTAGAAGTGCAATATTGCATATTTGAATACTAAGCCCAGTAATCCAAAATATTTCAAAACAAAATATTAAATTTTTAACAGAAAATGGATTGCCTTTAGCTCATGATAATCTATAGCATTATCTTTATCAGTGTCGAATAGTTCAAAAGCATCTTTAATTTCTTGCTTCTGTTCTTCAGTTAATTCTCTTCTTTTTTTTCTCTTGGTTTTTTCAACAGAAAATTCAGCTCTAAAAACAAAGAAAAATGTGTGTAGCCATTATACAAAAAAATCATTTGTCTTAATTACCAATTAGCAAACAGTGTGTCGATCTTGAACCCATTTTAGTAGATGGATTTTATGGGATTTTTGATCATAAGCAAATGTCACTTCCCATGAGATCTGATTTTATATAATATCTAGCCATAAAAGTCATATTTATAATATTAATATCCTTCACCTGAATTAAACTGTACATATACTCCAAACTCTGAACTCCAGACTTTTAAACTTTCTGATTCACATTTATTTTGTATCTTTTGCATATATTAGCCTCCCAATCCTCACTTGCCCTGCTACTATGTATTGGCAATGCTAATTGCATTACTACTGTAACAAGATACATGGGAAGTTACTTATAATAAGGTGATTATGCTAGTGAGTTTCCTACTTTTGCTTTAATAACTATAAATATCCATTTTGCATCAACATTCAGTACTAAAAAAAAATACTTTTGCTAAATTTGTGGATAATCTGCTAATTCTGATGAGATCTAGAACTTCCCATCTCTAATTCATCCCATTCCCCAAATCTATCTCTAATTGCGTCATTTGCCACATGATTGGTTCTACTGTTATAAGATTTTCCCACTGACACTTCTTTTAAAACTACTTTTTAAATTACAACTACCAGCAGTTATAAAGTTGAGGTGTTTTCATGTAAATTACTATTTTAAAGCTATCAATTCTGTGGATTGATTTTTAAAAATGGGAGGGGGGATAAAGGAATTGCAAAATCTGACGGGCAATCATTCCAAGGTGAAGATTCCTCTGACTTCTGATAAACAGAAGAGCACATGCACGATTTTTTTTTTTTTTAGCAAAAGCATGGCAACGGTTTACACTGCCTTCTTAAGGAATTTGCTTCTCATTTTCCTTTCTAATCTACAGCTTTGGTATTTATTTCCCCATCTCCGTTCTAACCAAGCCCCCTTAGATTCTCTTTCGAGATTCTGAATCTCGAATACAGAATACAGGCAGAAATCATTAATCCTGCAATGGGGAGGGGGGGGCTGGGGAGAGAGAAAAAAAATGTGTAGAAAAACCCCTCAGCACAATAAACACGTGGGGACAGCGCTCCGCTCAGCTTGTTCCCGCAACCATCGCGCGCTACGGCAGATATCGCGACAAGCGTCGCACGCGAGGGGAGAACGTTACGTTACCATAGCAACAAGAAGCGAATCGTTACTTGCGCTCTCCCCTCCCTCCGAACGTTTGTACCCACCTCGTTACCAAATTCATTCTCCCGGTCTCCCACCCCTTGAAACCGGACACCAGGCGGGGGAAAAGAGACGTGTCTCTTGTAATTTTGGTCAACTAAACCCGAAATTCAGACTCGACAACAGCCTTATCTCAAAAGCGAGACGTAAACCCAAGTCTCTCCGCCAACAATGCCGCTTCCCTCTTCAGATTTCAGCTACAATTGGACGTTACAACGCCTCTTTTGTGTGTAGCCCAAGGCGATTGGCTAAGCCGCCGTCAATCAAGCTTCAGGCCTCCCTCCTTGTCTACTATTAGGTTGGAAAAGCGCCAGAAACTACCCAGAAAACACTGCGAATTTAACGTCATAGTGAGGGTAAGATAGAGGAAGGCAAGGGGTGTGAGCAGTGGTGACGTAGAGGCCCCGCCTCTCCGAATTTGAACGGTTGGGAGTTCCTGGAGTCGCTTTCCTATGGATTCTCTCATAAAGTTCCTGATTTAGTTTGTTAGCGTCTCTTTCCGTCTTGAACAGTACAACGGTTTTTTCGGGAGCAGATCTGTACTATTGTATAATGATACAATCAAAGAAACATGCCTGTTTTGAGCATACTGTATATGCTGTGGCTGGAGTGGGTGGTGCAGGGTTATGCTTATCATACAGCGAGATAAGTATGTCTTGAAAATATTTTGAATTCTGAAGATCAATAGAAAATAAAGGGAAGTGGACAATGAAACTGATGCAACTGAGCTCAGTGTAAATTACAAATTAAGTGACTTGCACCAGGGATTAGATCCTAAAAGGAATTGGACTGAGACTGAGTTATGCTAAACACATGCACATTTCTATTACGCAACTGTAAAAATTCATTTTATCTTGCCTTTTATTTTACAAGACCATGTTCCAAACTTTTCCTTTGGGTAGAAGATTATTATTACGTTTTAAGGAGGATTGACGGGGCACCAAGAATTACATGACACATTTTATGCAAACCTTGCAAATCAGTGTTGTTTACAGGATTTGATACCAAACAAAATATCACTTGGCAGTTGCTACTATTTTATCTTCATTTTCTTTCTTTTGAGTTTTTTTAAAAAATCATTTTTGTGTTTATCTTTTAAACTTTGTACTTTTTAAAAAACTAGTAATACTATATCAAGCAACTATTTTTTATCTTCCTGTACAATTCAGGCATGCAGAGAAAAAATAGTTGTTGACTTACCAGGAAAAAGCCTTTATTATCATCAATTAAAATAATCAAAAGTATGCAATGATTTGTACTTCCTAATCAACTACATTAGGAAGGATAATACAAAACATGAGAAAGGAACAAACTGTAAAAACTGCTTTGAGGTCATGAAGTTTTCTGGAGCAGAGATACTATATTAAGGATTTTTTTTGGTTATGCCAACCTGTTGCTGTCACATCCCGAGCTCATTACTCAGGCAGCCCATAATTCCCCTTCCACTTGGCAAGTGGCATTTTCTTTCTCCCAAGCAAAAGCTTGTCATAAGGGATGATCTAAAGTGTTCTGGCAATGAGTTTGGGGATACATAGATATGAATAGTCATCGCTAAGTTCCAGTTGAACTGACAAGTCTGATGTAGTAGACAGCATCTTCACATAGTTGCGGAGAAATGGGCATCCGTGATCATTTGACTTTGGTTCTGAGAAATGAGATATTCCATTATTTTCTCTTGTTAAACTCCCAGGAGTTTGATCGACCAGTCAATCAGGAATTCTGCTATCTGGCACATAAAATGTGTATACTGTATATTCGGATATAAAAAAGGGAGAAATGTTGACACATAAACATACATTTAAATAGGAAGAAGGAAATAGAAGGAGGAAGTTCTTTCCTGGCGAAAAATAACACTGACTTCAGGAAGAAAGGAAGAAACCTGAAGAAGCACAATGGCATTAAGCACTTTGGTTCAGGATTATTTCAAATTAGCTGAGGCAGATTAGGGGCAGGGTTTATTTGATAGGGTTATTTATCTGAGTTTTGTGCTCCCATGTTCCTGCAGTAATCTGGAGGATCTCTAGGCGGCAGTATGCTCAACATGGAACATTAACAATCTTGTTAGAAACAGCCTACAGCAGAAAATAAAGGCTAAATAAATCATAAAACAAAGATTTGAACTCCCAATCCCATCCCACCAAAAATTCAGAAAACCAGCTGGTGGTTGATTTTCCAGCCACCAAATCACTGTCCTAAAATTGCCTTTAATTAAATTCTTTGAGGATAGCAAAACTTCCCAGCATTATTGCTAAGGTGCAATAATGTAAACTGGGGACAATACTGTTTGTGTCAATATGCTTTCATCCAATTTAAGGCAGAACAGAACATTTAACATAGACCTCAAGAGCCCATAGTATGTTTATTAACCAGGGGTTTTATTTAATGATAAAGAACCAATAAAAATGTATGTGACACATACATGCATGCACATTGCACATATTCCTGAGTATGAGTTATTTGGGCCACTCTATTTACATATAACAGAACTCCCTAGTTGCCCTTTTAGATAATTAGCTTCTGCCGTAAGCAATGTTGTGTGTTTTGTTGTTCAAGAGATTTGACTGAATCAACAGTGAAAATTTCTTCTTCCAAACACCCAATGCTGTCTAGAATTGCAGATGTTAAAGATTGATGTAAAATGCTGTGACTGAGAGCTATATTAATTAATTGATCTTAATTAATGAGCCAAATCGGTTTAATTATTTTAAATTATTTTTATTTAACATTATATGTATGTTATTCTGACTGTTCACCGCCCTGAGTCCTTTGGGAGAAGGGCGGTATAAAAATTAAATAAATAAAATAAAATAAAATAAATATTAATTGAAGCACAGTTGACCCTTATAATTTCCCAAATCCACATCTTATATGAGGTATCTGCTCTGTCAAGAAGAGTAATGTTTTCCAAATGCAGAAAATTTGAATTACTGATTTCAACATTAAGTCAAGCTCATTTTGCATTTCTTAAGATTTCTTTCACTGATTTTCCAAAATTAAATATTTTTGTTCTTATTTCACAACTCGGATATATAATTATTAAAGTTCATTTTATGTTTCAATTCCTTATAAAATTGAAGTATTAATCTTTGTTCCAGTCTTACATATCTTAAAGATGCTGCAATGCAGGTGTAACAGAGGCTGCTAAAATATTTGAGCCATTCTGTTATTAATGCATTTTTCAACTGTATATATTGTCAAGAAAATAGTATAGATAAGGGATATATATGCAGCACATAATCTTTCAAATGTCTTTAAAGCAACCATTAGAAATCAACTGAAATATATAGTACCTATGGTGTAAAAATGAAAGTAATTCATCAGAAAATGTTATTTCATATTTATTAGTTTCCCAAAATAATGTTTAAAATGAAGAGTTATTAGATTTTTAAAAATAGTTTTGTAATCAATTTTAAAATTCTTTAACACTATTTGGTGTTGTCCAGTCATAGCCTTATTTTGATTTCAATTCTCTACATATGTAAATACAATTTTAGAAAATCATAGTTAACATGATACTAAACTATAATCCTAAAGCATGGAATCTGTCATCTTGTGAAGAGCTTTGGCTCTGTCAAGGTTGGGGCACAACCAAGAGGACAATTTTATAGAATCGGAAAGAAGCTTACTCTCTTAATTTTAAGAAATGCCTTCCAGGATATGAGTATATCATTTATTTTTGTAATGTCTCTGTAGTTTTGCAAGGATAAATGAAAATGGAAAAAACATTTAAATTTCAACAACAATTTAACAAATGTTAATCTTTCGTTTTGCCACACTTGAAGACCATATTGCAGCCTATCTTACTTGTGTATATACAACTGCACCAGCAGATGGCAGCATAAAATAAATTGTTCAGCACATATTCAACAGACTGGAATTCTGAAATCTTAAATGATTTCACCCTGCTTAATCTTTAGTAAGATTATTTGCTTTCATGGTGGCAATAAATATATATACCACTCAATTTCTATATAACTTTTGAGAACCAAGTTTTAACTTACTGATCTAGAACAAATGGACAAAACCATATATTCATTTTTAGGTATTAATATGACTTCAGCATAAGAAAAATTCCAATACCAGCATCTTTCATATATTCGGTTAAGCTCCTGAACCTCAAATAATTCATCCCAAACAAATTAATGTATATATTATGCACCTCGTGTTGATTAAGAAGCATTCTCAGTATTTAGAATGGTTATCAAAAAGATAACACAGAAGATATTTTAAAAATATTAAATATTTTTTAGATATTAAAAAAACCAATCAGTTCAAAAGAACTAAGGATTTGATGCAAAATAACATTGTACTTAAAATTTTGACTCTGAAAACCCCTACATTTATATTATCATGAAATGAAGAGTTAAGCCATAATTTTTAAAAAGGAGACAACATGGAGTTGATTATACTAGCTTAATGTCATTAATTGTGTATTGCACTCTCAAACATTTGGGGTGAAAACTATTTTGTAATACTCAGATTAGTTTCAATTTCTCCTCCTTTCTCTCTGATCGGTCGCAGTCTGTGTTGACAGGGGGGCAGAGGTCGACCCCGAGGCCCCTTGTATGTGGGGTGCCACAGGGGTCGGTTCTCTCACCCCTTCTGTTCAACATTTATGTGAAGCCGCTGGGTGAGATCATCCGTGGTTTTGGGGTGAAGTATCATCAGTATGCTGATGATACTCAGCTATACATCTCCACCCCGGACCACCCCAATGATGCCCTTAAAGTGATGTCCCAGTGCCTGGAGGCTGTACGGATCTGGATGGGGAGGAACAGACTCAGGCTCAACCCATCCAAGACCGAGTGGCTGTGGTTTCCGACGTCCCGATATAGTCAATTGGTGCCATCACTGACTATTGGGGATGAGTCATTGCCCCCCACGGAGAGGGTTCGCAACTTAGGCGTCCTCTTGGACTCTCGGCTGTCTTTAGAAGAACACTTGACGGCTGTGGCCGGGAGGTCTTTTTATCAGGTTCGCCTGATTCGCCAGTTGCGTCCCTTTCTGGATCGGGACTCGTTAAAAACGGTCACTCATGCCCTCGTCACTTCACGCCTGGACTACTGTAATGTTCTCTACATGGGGCTCCCCTTGAGGAGCACCCGGAGGCTCCAGCTGGTCCAGAATGCGGCCGCACGGGTAGTTATGGGAGCAGCATGGCGCTCCCATGTGGCTCCCCTCCTGCGCGAGCTGCACTGGCTCCCTGTGGTCTTCCGGGTGCGCTTCAAGGTCTTAGTTACCACCTTTAGAGCGCTCCATGGCTTAGGACCGGGGTACTTACGAGACCGCCTTCTGCCACCAATAGCCTCTCACCGCCCAGTACGCTCCCATAGAGAGGGGCTTCTCAGGGTGCCGTCAGCCAAACAATGTCGACTGGCGGCCCCCAGGGGGAGAGCCTTTTCTGTGAGGGCACCCACCATCTGGAACGAGCTCCCCCCAGAGATACAGAAGATTCCGGATCTGCGCACTTTCCGCCGTGCCCTCAAAACATTCCTGTTTCAGCAGGCCGGCCTGGCCTAACTTTCCCTTTATATTGCTTTTTGATTTTATTTTAAACTGGGATGTCTTGAATTATCTAGGACCAGAGTGTTTAGTATATTTTAATTGGTTTTTTTAATTAACGTTTGTATTACATGTATTTTTATCGTTCGCTGTTCACCACCCTGAGTCCCTTAGGAATAGGGCGGTATATAAATTTAATAAATAAATAAATAAATAAATAAATAAATAAATAAATAAATAAATAAATAAATAAATTTCAGTTTATTTAGATTTATATACCGCCCTTCTCCCAAAGGACTCAGGGCAGTGAACAGCCAAAGATAAAACACATACAATATAAAATTTAAAATACAATTTAAAACATATTAGATAAATTTGGCCCATACTAATTAAAACACCCCTTTTTTAAAAACAAATTAAAATTAAACAATTAAAAGGAGTTAGGCCAGCCCAGCCTGTTGGAATAAAAAAGTCTTGAGATCACGGCGGAATGTGCGTAAATCCGGGATCCTCCGTATCTCCGTCGGGAGCTCGTTCCAAAGGGCAGGTGCCCCCACAGAGAAAGCTCTCCCCCTGGGGGCCGCCAGTCGACACTGTTTGACCGACGGCACCCTGAGGAGCCCCTCTCTGTGGGAGCGTACTAGCCGGTGAAAGGCTACCAGTGGCAGAAGGCGGTCTCGTAAGTACCCAGGTCCTAAGCCATGGAGCGCTCTAAAGGTGGTAACCAATACCTTGAAGCGCACCCGGAAGACCACCGGGAGCCAGTGCAGCTCGCGCAGGAGAGGTGTTACAAGGGAGCGCCATGTCGCTCCCATAACCACCCGCGCGGCCACATTCTGGACCAGCTGGAGCCTCCAGGTGCTCCTCAGGGGGAGCCCCATGTAGAGAGCATGGGGCCATGTACAGGAGTCCAAGCGGGACTACTAACTAAGAAGAAAATCAAGATTGATTAATGGTTAGTTACTGTGGTTAATACACTTACAATAAATGTAAAAAGGTCATATCTAATACAACAGCAAGATATGAAAGTCTTATAGAAACAAGATCATCCTGAAAATGATACAAATGATATCACTATAAGGAATAGCAGAATTTTGAAGAATCCAAAAAAGCTTCATTCTTATTTAATGTATGGACAAGTTTGGAGTGGGGGGGTGCCCACAATATGGAAATATTTATCAATTGCTTCATCCCTCTCTTTCGACTTTGCAGGCTAACAGTGTGTCCCTGGGATTTCTGCCACTTATTTCAATTTGTAAAAATGTACAAAGCAATTTTGGAGATGGCAATTAGTATGCTCAAGCTATCATCCCCGCTCCACCTCCAAAACGTTGATTGTTTATACACCTATCGTTCCGCTTACCTCTCCTAAGGGAAATAAACATTTTCCTCTCATTCAAAAGGAAAGGAATAAATCAAAAAGAAAAAAAAAATGAAATCTTATTGGAGAAGCCTTTTGTGTCATTTTTTTTATTATCAATATCAATGATAAACAATATAACTGTTTTCTTGAAACCAGTACCATTAGTAAATTTTTATTAGTATGGTGCATTACAAGTTTTAAAAATTGTTTTAAACCATACATTACAGCAATATTCATGACCCAGTTAAATAATATCTCTCAAAGTGATATCATATCAACATGGCTGAACTTCAAATAACTATTTCAACTTGAGTTTTTAAATTATCACAAACAGATAAATACAGAATCCCTTAGTGGTTTCAAACTTTTTTTTACAAATAATAGTAAATGTATGATCAGTATCATTTTTAAAAATGCTTTCTTTCAGAATTAAACTTTATAATATAAAAATATTTAAAACAACAGATCAGATTCTATAGCACTCTCTCAGGGATAGTGTTTTACTAACCGATAATAATCACAAGTTGAACTGTGATCCAGTCCTAGGTTGAAACTTGAATAAAACTACAATTCAGTACTCACTAGGAATAAAATCTCACTGAATTGAGTAGTATTTATATTACAGTAAGGAAGGTACTTCCATTCTGAATATTTCTCTCAGTAAATGTAATTATTAGCTTCAGTAGATAAGTTTACTCTGTGATACCTAATCAGATTGAAAAAAGACAGATTTTCTTTAAAATCAGCCAATTTTATAAGTAACTGTTTGTTTGTTTGCTTACTAACTTACTAAACTAATAGAAAAGTTTCAGATCAGTCCTTCGCCACAAGTCTGACAATTGAAGGATTCCTTACACTGAAGTACTCTCATAGTGAGAAATCAACACTTTGGTAAATAACTTTCAAAACACTGTCAATGGGCAAAGGAAGAGGAAAGGACAGAAAGTCAAAAGAGGATTCTTTTATCTATGGATAAAACTGTTAATGCCTCAGCAGTATTTCATAACAAAATCAGTTTGTAATGGTCCAGGCCAAAAAGTCAACCATTCTGTAGCAGAAATAAACAAGGCACTATAAACTCACATGGATTCCAAGATGGTTGAAAATCTTGATTAAGCAGGAATCAGATTAATTTTGATTGTGCTTAATACTGCAGCTGATACTGTGCTTAATTGTATTCAATTCGAAGAAGAAATCTGGTCAAAAAGGAGATGACTATGAGTACATAATATGGCAACATGCTCCTAACCTTTGGACCACACTTGTGGCTCCTCAGTGAAGATTACCCAGTTTCAATAGCATACAAGCAGCATTTGCTAATTTGTGATTGTACTGCTAGATACCTCTTTCCTATTTTTCAAAGGTATTGAATTAATAGTTTTTCTTAGTATAGGCAGCAATTCCAGTGTTAATTGCCAAAATGATGCAGTATTTTAGAACAGGAAATAGGCACTATTAACTTTTTAAGAACTAACTGTACTTTCATAGGATACCAAGTGCTGAACACTGTGGTATTAAGACTCAAAGTGCTGCTTTGATCTTGGGGAAATATTGTGCAATAGAATTCAAAAAGGAAAAAAAAGTGTAATGGCACAATATTCAAATAAATTACAGTTTTTACAGGAAACAGTCATTTTTAATATAATTCTTACTGAATTTCAATAAATCAAATTCTGATGCAAGATACAAGTTCTGCATCCAAACAAGAGACTAGTAATATCTTAGAAAATATTAACTGGCAGAAATGTTTATTAGATTGGTTGAAAAAAAGCACAATGCAAATTGTGGAAAGAAGGAAAGAAAAAAAAAGTGAAAAGAGAAAAATGAAGAAGTATGAAAACTTAAATCTGACCCACATGTAATGTGCACCTGATACAACCTACCACCCACTATCAATTTGCTAGTTTTATATGCCATTTTGTTTACAACTGTTGTTTAATCAGCAGCTCACACTTACTGAAGTGTTTCTGCAACTGTGGTATTACAGGAATTAAGAATCTTGGATTATAGGTGCATGTTTTACTTAAAAATGGTTATACACTCACACTTACAGCATTAGTTATATTTGAAAAGCAAGCAATATACTTAAAATATTAAATGACATTTCATTTGTTTTAAAACCAATACCTAAATGCAACACAATTCAAGAACAACAGTAACATAGAACAATATTTGATATGAACATTTGGTATTAACTTCAGTTTACATTCATCCCATACAATAAAAATTACTTAGGTACTTAGTGCATTCAACATGACAGTGGAATGTTCCAATAGCCCCTTCTTCTCACAACCCTTGCTTCTGTATTTCAGCCATTTAAAATATGTTTTCAATATAACTCCTAACTGAAGGCTGCATTAGAAAGATTGACAAAAGGGCAAAACTTTTATTTTAACGATATGTTTCAAAATGGTTCAAAATACAAAATAACTTATTTAGAACATCTGTCAAATAGCATTCAACATATGTGCAAACTCGCCTTTGAAAAGACACAAAAAAAAAGATGAGTAGCTTTGGCACAGCTACTGGTATGTAAATTGGCATTTTTAAAATATAAATTAATTAGATAAAAATAAGCATCTTCATGGCTATGAAGTTAAGACTATGAAGTTGTTCTAGAATTTGTTGCACGAAGTGCTAGGCTTGCAACCGATCTCATCGCACACATAGAAATCTTGTGACAAACTCCAGCATTTGAAATATAGTTGGAAGCTAAACGATACAGTCGTTCAGATCCAAATGTGTTAAAATGCCCTGGAAGGACTTTCTCTACAAGGCCCCTATTGACTAAGTCTATTAATCGCTGGCAGGTTGTAACGTAGTCATTTATCCGGCTGTAGGGAAGCCAGTCAATCATTGAGCCATCATACACAACATCCCCACTGAACAGAATCTTCCGTTCTCTGTCATGCAAACAAATGCTTCCTCTCGAATGGCCAGGCATGTGCATGACAGTGAGCTGTCTATCACCAAGGCTGATCACATCCCCTACAACAAGAAACAAAATTTTATGGACAAACCAATTTTCAAAAATGCAACCTTACATTTGTCTCTGTTACAAACTCATGCATTAAAACTGTAACTGTAGCCAAACAATGCAGGAAAACATATACTGTATTACTCTCCCCCTCCCCTGACAAAGATGAAAGCCCACACACGGTAGGAAGGATTCTGGGAGCATGAATACTTACCTTAGTTTAGGGTTCAGTGGAAGGGGGATAGTAAAACTATGAAGAAAAAAATGATTTTTAAAGGTATTTTCCAGTCACATCTGCAGATGAGCACCAACATGGCCAGGCTATAGTCCACTTCAGTATTTCACAATTTTAAGACACACTGACTTCCCCAACCTTAAAGCTGCCAAGATTGAGAAACACTGGTCTCCTAGAAAGTCCATCATATCATGCATGTTTAATTTCATCCTTATTTCTCATAATGATTTCTATGAGTTCTATTAGACTGGACAGCTTGTACTTTTCCTAGCTCTGCTCTTTTCCATTACCTCCAACTGACAGCCAATTGCCTCTAGCTGCACTCTCCTTATTCATTATAAAAGAAAAGAAAACAACTGTCAACTTGAAGCCCATCTCTCCCAGAAGCCATAAGTAAGAAATCTACAATTGACTGAAGCTCAAATCACAATAGTAACATCTGACTTATGGTCTACAATATTTGGTTACATCAGTTCACTCAGTATTACTCACAAATCACAAAGTTTATTGAACAGAAAAAGTAGATTATCTGGACTCCTTTCAAATAAGATATAGGCCTGGGTATAGAATTAAAACTTGATGACCCCTGAGAAGGCTGGGATGGAAGGAGTATAATTATACTAGTCCTGCTGGATTTGTGAGTGGCCTTCAATATTATATATCATGATATCTCCCTCCAATTATTTAAGCATTTAGACATTTTGCTGTGAGAATTATTGGACATACTGTATTCTTGATTGGTCAGTTCCCACAGTGGTAGGGGCATAAATCAGGACCTTGGCTTCTGGATTGCTGCACAGCTAAGCTGTCTTCCACCTATAATTTAACATCTACCTGAAGCCCCTGGGAGAGATCATCTCCAAAATGAATTGAGATATCAATAAATAGGCTGATGATGTTCAATTACATATTTTCCATCTGAATCTGGGCAACATATGTGGCGAAGGTCCTAATTCAGTGATTGGAGGTTGTTAAGATATGGATATAAGAAACAATTTGAACTGAATTCTATCAATTCTGGACTTAGAAGATGACTTCGTCTATTTTATTTTGTTCAACTTTATTCCTGGATATGATAAATGTTTTCCCATATCGAGTTGACCTATAATTTGTGGTTCAACATGGAATGACACTCCTACTTGCTGTGGAAACACAGCAAGACAGTCAGTTACAGTGGCTAGGTGTAGCCTTATTTAAATCAGGTGGCTTTATTCACAATTATTTATGAAGCTGGATTTTTGTTATGTAAAATACATGGAATTGCCCTTGTAGATCATTTTGAAGTGGTTACATAGTACAATATGCAACAACCCTAGTTAGCTGCATTCAGGTTCACTCATGTATTATCACTACTACAGCCTGCACTGGCTGCCAATGAGTTTCAAAATGCAATTCAATATGCTGATTGTCATCCTTAAAGCCCTAAATGGCTCAGGGACTGAATACTGTGTTACTACAACCTCTGAGTTGAATCCATCCATCCTATAAGACCCGGAAATGAGGATTTACTAAGGGGTCTTGCCACCAAGGGAATGCCCTCTTTATAGAACCTAGACCAAGTGATGTTCTCCTTCCTTTGTAATATTCAAATCACATCAGAAAAACATTTAAATCCAAGTAAGATCTTGCTATTCCCAAATGGTGATGCATCAGATGGACTGTTTATAGTTTTATTACAGTAAGTGATTTTTAAAAATCTTGTTATATTGCAAGCAACTTGGTATCTCTGGAAATGGAATAGCATATGAATTTATGTATAATAAAGAACTAAAACTACTGTTTTTGTATGTAGTATACAAATATACTACACAATATAGCATATCTTTCATTATTCACATCTGTCAGTAGCAATAGTGGATATTGGCTAAAGTAGGGGTCTGATAAAGGATGAAAAACACAAAAGAAGGCAATGAAACCTCATCAATTAGATTTCATATTCACTTAATTGTGTATATTTTAGCAACTGAAAAAATTACTAAGTCATCATTTTGACAGTCAATGAGCTAAAACTACTGGCTGCTTGAATTAATTTCACAAGATTTCTTAGTCATTTGTTCTTAATCTCAGAAAACATTTTTCCTTAAAGTGGAAGTTACAATCTCAAGGCTTTATTGTGGCTAGTACAAAGGGATGTGTATACATAGGTATATGTGTATTCAGTCTGATTATTTTTATTTAGTTTATGGATTATTTATATTTTCTCTTACCTATTCTATCCTTTCTCTCTGATAAACCAATATATTTAAAATATTTGGTATTATAATATAATAATATACCAACAAATTTATTATTAAAGGTAGATAATTTATCATGCTTCTTTCTCAAAAGAAAATACTTTGAACAGGGAAAAGAAAGTTTCAAATTAAGTTTCTTTCTGGCCATTTTTAGATATATATTGCAGTTTTCAGTACAAGCATTGAAAATTAATACCATTTGCAAGTAGACTCAGAGTCTAATGTTCCAACTGTGGACATTAATTCTTCATAAAACATGGATTATATAGGTGGAAATTAAATTCTGAGTTGGAAGCTCTGTCTCCTTCCTCTTCCCCTTAATACCAGCTTTAGTTTTATTACCCTGCCTTAAACCAGAGATCTTCATTGTATCCAAAATACATTACCATATTGAATCAGTCAGTTTACTGACTGAGATATTAAGTCACAATCTAAAGTATTTTATCAATCCATATGCCATAATTTAGAAATTTGGAAATTCACATCCAAAACAGATTACTATGCATTTCTTCTTGTGTAAGCTGTTCTATGGGTGCTTCAGAGGAGCCACACAAGGTTCAAAATAAAATGAGCAGCTATATAAATGTTATAAACAAATATATGAATAAATAAGTGTGCATCACCTGGAAATGTAAGCAGACAGATTGTGAATGCATATGTCCCTCTAATCTTAATGAAATGACTTTCTATCTGAGCTTTTCTTGCAATGCTTTTATTGGCTGACTCACCATCTTTGAGAATGCCATCTTCCCAGAAAAGATATAATTTCAACTAGTTAAAGCATAACAGATATTTTGTCTACTTTCAATTTTAATGGATCCCATAAAAATCAAGATGGAAAAATTACTTCATTATACATAGTGGTAACCAGTAGCTTGCTGTATTATAGCCCTGACCATAATCTATTATGCATTTTAATGTTCAATTAACAAGAATGGTCAACAGATCCATTAATATTACTTTGGATGTACTTACATTTCATGGATATTATGATTCAAGTCTTCCCAAGATATTTGCTTACATATGTAAAAGCTAAAGTGTGTACAAAGTGAAAACAATGTACCCCACCATTGAAATACTGCTCTTTCCTCAAATATGGTACAAAATGGTTTAAAATTAGTGTGTGCCCTGAGATAGTTTTAATAAAGCACTATAGTGTTCAGATGCATGAATCTGTTCATACTTATGCTCTATGCAGATGTTTATTTATACATGAAAACATATAAAGGGAGAGGGTTGGTGTCATGCTACAACATACGTTCATAATTTTGGCATCATCATAATTAAAAACAGATGCCTATGATTACAAAAGCACTGGTAGCAGTAATTTAGGCAAAATAAAGATGTTTCTAAGTCAATTTCAAATGGTTGCAGCTTCATGGCAGAGCACTTGTGCTCAGAGATACCCATACTCAAGCCATAAGCCACATCTCCTAATAGTCCTGGGAAAGACTGGAAATGGAAACCTTTTGGAACAACTGTTACTGTCAAGATAAAAATGAGAAAGGTGGATCAAAGGTATAATGCAGTTTTCTGCAATTTTACATTAAATATAATTAAGGTGGGTCACAAATAAGAAAACATCATCAAAAAGCCATAAGATTTTTGCTCCCAAATTCCAGCACTTTTTGTAATTCCTGAAAAGTTAACCTGGCCAAAGATAAATAGAAATGTAACTAGGGGCATATTAAAAGTGAAATCTAAAATAATAGGTGTAATGAGGCAAGTGAAAAGAGTCAGATTATCAATCTAATTTGGATTATGTCTATATAGTTTTTCATGCCTACTTTATAAATTAGATATCAAACATATGGATTGAAATGTTAGTGAAGTGTTTTGGGTTGTAATATGTGAAGCACTTAATTGGAGGAAACATGCATAAAATGTTACTCCTAGCCTAGGTAATAATCTGTGGATAATATTAAAGGATTTTGGTTTTATTTTCTTAAATATAACCAGCTAGTCCAAAATGTTGATAGAATTGCAGAGTGGACAGACTGAAAAAGATGCTGAAAAAAAATCTCACAAAATGTTACACACACACATACACACTCAGTGTACAGCACAAATATTTGATGGATAAATGTTCAAAACTCATTGTTCATAGCAATGTTACTATTTGGCAAAATTATATTCCTAGACATTTTTCTCTGGCTGATATGCTTATTTATTCTTTCTTCACCCCACAACAGGGACGTCCTAGAGAAGCACAAAGTATTAAGAGTCTTAGTGAAATGCTCTACCATGTACTTTGTATATCACCCATTCTTCAGCAGATGCTCAAGATGTCCCCACCCTACCCTTTCTTTCAGACTCTGACAGTGCACATTCACATTTGTACGACCTTTAAGAGACAGGCATCCAATTTCAATGGCCTGTGCATGGATTTTACAAAGATGCTCTCCACCTGTCTTTTCAGAGATACATTTTTAACTCCAGAAAGATAATTTCAACATCATAAATGCATCATGAAAGATGCATTTAGCTCACACATTTTTTCTTTAAGAAACCAATAACACTGCTCTGTTTCTATGGTCCCTTCTATAATCTCCTTTTAAAACATTTTATAAAAGTACAGGGATCACATAATGCTGTGTTTTTCATTCCCATTCCACTTCCGCTCCCCATATTTTCCTTCTCTTCTTTCTTATATATCTATGTCGTAGTGATTTCAAATCTTGAGAGAATTTCTCCACCCTTTGCCATATCCAAAGAACTGGAGCTATAAAGACAGACTACTAATGTTATTATTTCCCTGTATCACCAGAAATTCCCTTCCTTTTACACTTTGCTACTGAAATGGCATAATACACCTCTCTCATGCCTTATTAATTCTGTATTCTGAACCAAAGAACATTAGGGTTCAAAATCCATCTGCCTCCATCACCAAACCTTTACGAATTAGTACCTTCACTACATGCACTGCACCCAAAAAACAGAACTTTCCGTTTTCATGCCACATGGCTCCAGACAATACTCTTCATTTTTTGGTAGGCAAATGATAATACCCACTATTTATTTTCAGTAACAGAAAAGTTGCTGGACTCGAACAGCCCCTCCTTTCTGTACAAATAATCCACTTCAGCAGGAACCCAGTAGGCATGTGCAATATAGAAATAACGCTGATGATATTCAACCCTGCCTGGTGTAAGCCTGTCCAATTTACTATGACATATCAGATATTAAAGAAAGCCAAATGCTGCAGGTGGCAGAGATGTTTTTTGAAGTAATAAAAAAAGGGGGAAGACAATGATAAAAACACCCCTCCAAATGTATTATATTGCATGCAAGAAATCACTCAGCCTAGTGTTTGAAGAAATAATTAATCTGAAATCACTATATTGGCGTCCTTTCGTGACTTGGATGAGAAAGCGGCTCATAAAAGAAAGCGTTGGTCAATTCAATCAAGGCTGTACACCTGGTCGCAACAGCTCGGTTCAGTTGGGGTACGGGAGCTGCCTGCCTTGCTCCAGAAAGGCGCCTGCAGAATGAGATGCGGGTCTCCCTTGCCAGCCCACTACCCTCTCCCCCTCCCCGCTCTTACCCTCCTGCAAGACGTGAGTCGGCTGGACGGGTCGCACTCGGAACTGCCTGGCCCTCCAGCCGGGGCTGGGCTGCCTCACCACCTCGCTGTCCGAGAGCCAAGTGACGGTCTCGTAGTTATCGCCGCGGCGCAGGGCTCCGGCCTCGGCGCTGTGCACGGCCACCTCCTCGAACTGATGCAGTCCGCCCGAGTGGTCGAAGTGCACATGGGTGGCGATGGCTAGCAACGGCCGCCGCCGCCGCCCACTGCTTGCGGGTTCCTTCTCCGCTTCGCCGAGACCGGCTCCCTCCTGGTCGCCCTGGGCCGGATCGGGATCCAAAAGCCCAGCCAAGTGAAGGTAGTCGGGGAGGCTGCGCAGCCCCAACCCCGTGTCGATCACCACGTCCCGCTGGGAGCCGCGCACCAGCCAGATGTTGGCCCGGTTGCCCGACTCGTAGAAGCGTTCTTGGATCCAGTAGATACCTCCGCCCAGAGACTTATGCGCGAACCACTCCAGCGCCGACATCACAGCCGGCCGCCAAACGAAACGCTGCGGCCACACGACCCGTCTCCTGCCTGCGGTGTTTGGGCTACGATCGCGTGTTGCGAACGGCCCGGACGCGCAGCTTAGACGAGGAGGGCGGATCCAGGAGGAGGAGGAGCTGGAGGCGGGGACTGAATCACCAGCTCCTCAGCGTAACCCGACTCGGCTTATCGGGTGGTCCCCCACCCGGCTCTTTCCCACTGCAGTAGCGCGTCAGACGGAAGGAAGGGGGCCGAGGGTTCGCCTTGGAAGGGGATGCGGTTGCACGTGGGGATTGCCTGCGAGACTGAAGATGCGGCTACACGACAGCTGATACAGCAAAAGCGCTCTGGGTTGTACTAAAGAAAATGCAAGTCTCTCTCACTTGGTGTTTCCTAAGTGCACTATTTAGGAAGGGATCTGGGTAAAAAAAAAAAAGGGTGCTTAAACTCATGGATTTTCTGGATTTCATAGGATTTTTAGATTGGATCCGCATGCAACACACTTGTCTGTATTATACCAAAAGCAAAGGTGATCAATCTGTGTCCTTTCAGATCCTCTGTCTCTGTTTGGTGGGATATAAAGAACACAAATCCTGTCCCTGAATTAAGCATTGAGCTCAGAATCTGCAATTAAATGCAATGCTATTTGGATTTTAAAGAACCTTCCATTGCCCATCTCTGATTAAATTCATTACCACCCCTTAAAACAAGGAACGGCAGACTAACGTTTATTACTGTCCTACAGATCTTAGATGCCTTTGCACAACTCTGTGTTGAAGAGGAATTACTATCAAAGTAAAAAATAAAAGCCACGTAAAACTGGCTGGAATGATCCAGCATTTTACTAAACAGTAGAAGAATAACTGAAAGAGACAGTCTGGCTAGTTAAAACACAAGGCTAGAAACCAAAATGTGAGTTCTAGCCCCACTTTAGATACTGTAAGCAGAATCCCCACCCCTTTTAATATAAAAGCCCCCATATTAGCAAAGAAATGCTTCCCACCCATGGAAGAGAAAAGGCTTTCCTGAAGTTAAACCATTCAAGCACCTGATCCCTGTGATTGGATATTTAGTTTCACAAACTATTCATAAACGAAACACCTTCAGCTACAGCCTCCACAGAAGGCTAGAATTGATCAGATTAAAAAAGCAGACAGACAAAAGACACCTAAAATCTACATTCCCCACCCAGCTCCAAGGGCAGGGCAGGACCTCCTAGCCACAATAGACGTCAGGCAACAATAATTAGAATACTAAAAGGGCACACACAAGTACAGATTAAAGTATATTTCATAATGAACCTGGGCATCTAAATCACAACGCCCTAGAACCGTGATGGCGAACCTATGGCACGCGGAGCCATATTAGTGGGCATGCCAGCTCAGCTCTGGGGCGCATGTGTGCGCTGGCCAGCTGATTTTCGGGCCTTCTGGGCCCACCAGAAGTAGGAAAACAGGCTGTTTCCTGCCTCTGGAGGGCCTTGGTGGAGGGGAAGGCCCGTTTTTCTTTCTTACCTGAAAACAGCCTTTCCCACTCACTTGGAGGCCCCACGAAGGCTGAAAGGGTCCATTTCCCGACTCCCCGTGGGACAGGAAGTAATGTTTTTCCTGTCCCCAGCCTCCAGAGACTCCTAGAGGCTGCTAGAGACTCCTAGAGAGGTTCCGGAGGCTGGGGACAGCAAAAAATGTCACTTCCTGTGGGGAAGTGGGGCCTCCAAGTGAGTGGGAAAGGCTGTTTTCGCCCTTCCCAGATGCATAGAGAGGATCTGGAGCCAGGTAAGAAAGAAAAACGGGGCTTCCCCTCCACCAAGGCCCTCCAGAGGCAGGAAACAGCCTGTTTTCCTACTTCTGGTGGGCCCAGAAGGCCCGAAAATCAGCTGGCCAGCGCACACATGCGCCCCAGAGCTGAGCTGGCATGCCCACTAATATGGCTCCGCGTGCCATAGGTTCGCCATCACGGTTCTAGGGCGTTGTGATTTAGATGCCCAGGTTCATTATGAAATATACTTTAATCTGTACTTGTGTGTGCCCTTTTAGTATTCTAATTATTGTTGCCTGACGTCTATTGTGGCTAGGAGGTCCTGCCCTGCCCTTGGAGCTGGGTGGGGAATGTAGATTTTAGGTGTCTTTTGTCTGTCTGCTTTTTTAATCTGATCAATTCTAGCCTTCTGTGGAGGCTGTAGCTGAAGGTGTTTCGTTTATGAATAGTTTGTGAAACTAAATATCCAATCACAGGGATCAGGTGCTTGAATGGTTTAACTTCAGGAAAGCCTTTTCTCTTCCATGGGTGGGAAGCATTTCTTTGCTAATATGGGGGCTTTTTATATTAAAAGGGGTGGGGATTCTGCTTACAGTATCTAAAGTGGGGCTAGAACTCACATTTTGGTTTCTAGCCTTGTGTTTTAACTAGCCAGACTGTCTCTTTCAGTTATTCTTCTACTGTTTAGTAAAATGCTGGATCATTCCAGCCAGTTTTACGTGGCTTTTATTTTTTACTTTGATAGTAATTCCTCTTCAACACAGAGTTGTGCAAAGGCATCTAAGATCTGTAGGACAGTAATAAACGTTAGTCTGCCGTTCCTTGTTTTAAGGGTGGTAATGAATTTAATCAGAGATGGGCAATGGAAGGTTCTTTAAAATCCAAATAGCATTGCATTTAATTGCAGATTCTGAGCTCAATGCTTAATTCAGGGACAGGATTTGTGTTCTTTATATCCCACCAAACAGAGACAGAGGATCTGAAAGGACACAGATTGATCACCTTTGCTTTTGGTATAATACAGACAAGTGTGTTGCATGCGGATCCAATCTAAAAATCCTATGAAATCCAGAAAATCCATGAGTTTAAGCACCCTTTTTTTTTTTTTACCCAGATCCCTTCCTAAATAGTGCACTTAGGAAACACCAAGTGAGAGAGACTTGCATTTTCTTTAGTACAACCCAGAGCGCTTTTGCTGTATCAGCTGTCGTGTAGCCGCATCTTCAGTCTCGCAGGCAATCCCCACGTGCAACCGCATCCCCTTCCAAGGCGAACCCTCGGCCCCCCTTCCTTCCGTCTGACGCGCTACTGCAGTGGGAAAGAGCCGGGTGGGGGACCACCCGATAAGCCGAGTCGGGTTACGCTGAGGAGCTGGTGATTCAGTCCCCGCCTCCAGCTCCTCCTCCTCCTGGATCCGCCCTCCTCGTCTAAGCTGCGCGTCCGGGCCGTTCGCAACACGCGATCGTAGCCCAAACACCGCAGGCAGGAGACGGGTCGTGTGGCCGCAGCGTTTCGTTTGGCGGCCGGCTGTGATGTCGGCGCTGGAGTGGTTCGCGCATAAGTCTCTGGGCGGAGGTATCTACTGGATCCAAGAACGCTTCTACGAGTCGGGCAACCGGGCCAACATCTGGCTGGTGCGCGGCTCCCAGCGGGACGTGGTGATCGACACGGGGTTGGGGCTGCGCAGCCTCCCCGACTACCTTCACTTGGCTGGGCTTTTGGATCCCGATCCGGCCCAGGGCGACCAGGAGGGAGCCGGTCTCGGCGAAGCGGAGAAGGAACCCGCAAGCAGTGGGCGGCGGCGGCGGCCGTTGCTAGCCATCGCCACCCATGTGCACTTCGACCACTCGGGCGGACTGCATCAGTTCGAGGAGGTGGCCGTGCACAGCGCCGAGGCCGGAGCCCTGCGCCGCGGCGATAACTACGAGACCGTCACTTGGCTCTCGGACAGCGAGGTGGTGAGGCAGCCCAGCCCCGGCTGGAGGGCCAGGCAGTTCCGAGTGCGACCCGTCCAGCCGACTCACGTCTTGCAGGAGGGTAAGAGCGGGGAGGGGGAGAGGGTAGTGGGCTGGCAAGGGAGACCCGCATCTCATTCTGCAGGCGCCTTTCTGGAGCAAGGCAGGCAGCTCCCGTACCCCAACTGAACCGAGCTGTTGCGACCAGGTGTACAGCCTTGATTGAATTGACCAACGCTTTCTTTTATGAGCCGCTTTCTCATCCAAGTCACGAAAGGACGCCAATATAGTGATTTCAGATTAATTATTTCTTCAAACACTAGGCTGAGTGATTTCTTGCATGCAATATAATACATTTGGAGGGGTGTTTTTATCATTGTCTTCCCCCCTTTTTTTATTACTTCAAAAAACATCTCTGCCACCTGCAGCATTTGGCTTTCTTTAATATCTGATATGTCATAGTAAATTGGACAGGCTTACACCAGGCAGGGTTGAATATCATCAGCGTTATTTCTGTATTGCACATGCCTACTGGGTTCCTGCTGAAGTGGATTATTTGTACAGAAAGGAGGGGCTGTTCGAGTCCAGCAACTTTTCTGTTACTGAAAATAAATAGTGGGTATTATCATTTGCCTATCAAAAAATCAAGAGTATTGTCTGGAGCCATGTGGCATGAAAACAGAAAGTTCTGTTTTTTGGGTGCAGTGCATGTAGTGAAGGTACTAATTCGTAAAGGTTTGGTGATGGAGGCAGATGGATTTTGAACCCTAATGTTCTTTGGTTCAGAATACAGAATTAATAAGGCATGAGAGAGGTGTATTATGCCATTTCAGTAGCAAAGTGTAAAAGGAAGGGAATTTCTGGTGATACAGGGAAATAATAACATTAGTAGTCTGTCTTTATAGCTCCAGTTCTTTGGATATGGCAAAGGGTGGAGAAATTCTCTCAAGATTTGAAACACTACGACATAGATATATAAGAAAGAGAGAAGGAAAATATGGGGAGTGGAAAATGTCACTTCCTGTCCCACCGAGAGTTGGGAAATGGGCCCTTTCAGCCTCCATAGGGCCTCCAAGGGAGTGGGAAAGGCTGTTTTCTCCCTTCCCAGATGCATAGAGAGGATCTAGAACCAGGTAAGAAAGAAAAATGGGCCTACCAGGCCATCACGTGTCAGGAGCGGGGGTGGGTGGGGTTGCGTGCGCATGCACATGGGCACGTGCGCGCGCAACCCCCGCCCCTCTCCTGGCACGCGATGGCAAAAAGGTTAGCCATCACTGCCCTAGAACCACATAAAAACCCATCCACTCACCAGACTCTTTTGTCAGCTATCCCATAACTGATTACTATGTCACTTCGTGTCTGATTCCTAATAAATGGAATCTCCTTTCCTGCAGCCTGCTTCCAATTCATTTTTCCAGCATCTTTCTCCTGGCTTGGAACCGGACCAGATTTTACTTCCAATGGTACAAAGTCAGCTGGATGACCTTGGGCCAGTCGATTTCTCTCAACTCTAGGATGGAAGTAATGGCAACCACTTCTGAAATGGCAGGAAAGTTGCCAGGAGTTAACTCTCACTCAAAGGCATGTGCATACACATGCACACGTACAAAAGATATGTCAATAAAATTGGCAGTGCAAAAGGACATTATCAGTTCTCTCTACCAGTTCATCACAACAGGGACATAAATGTTTTAAGAGGAGAATTTTATTAAATCTTCGTAATAAAGCTGAAGGGAGAGAATCACTGCAAACCAGAGTAAAGGAATTTAAATGGACAGGGACTATATTAGTGTCTGTCTGACTATTTACTTTTCTGTATAATTTAGGCAGCTGCCTATCTGAACCTTGTGAATTTAGCAAATATAAAACACAAAAACATAGGAAATCATAGAAACATTACAGTGTAAATGAGGACTATAAAAGATATCTTTAATCAATATTCCATACATTTTGGTGTGGCCCCACTGCCAGGAGAAAAAGCAAGTCTTCAACGCTTTCTGGAAGGATTACAGTACAGAGTCGGGGCCATCTGGATCTCAGTGGAGAGAGATTGTGTTCCATAGCGCAGGCGCTGTGAATGAAAATACATAATGCTGTCTAAATCCCATTAGATGGCATTGTTTCGTAGAAGAGATTTGGTGCATGCCACCCTGTCAGATCTGATAGGTGAGGTGGACATAACCGAGGTCAGACAATCTCAAATAACCTCGCCATGTGGGGCATTATAGGTAGCCAGCAGCACCTTAAATTGCACCCAAAAACCCAGCTGGGAGCCAGTGTAGTAGTACCGTGTTTTCCCGAAAATAAGACCCCGTCTTATTTTTTTTTAACCCCAAAATAAGCGCTTGGCCTTATTTTCGGGGAGGTCTTATTATTTTGGGGCATATGGAGCAAGATGAGGCTCCTCTTGCCCTCTTAGCTCTGCATTTAAATATTTTCGGGGAGGGCTTATTTTCGGGGATAGGCTTATTTTAGCGCATGCGCTCAAAAGCCCGATTGGACTTATTATCAGGGGATGTCTTATTTTCGGGGAAACAAAGTATTTTGGGAGCATTCAAAGGTACACCCAACACTGCAGGTATTACAGCATTCAGAAGCTGATCCAATACATTCGGCACTGCTGCATTCTGGAGTAGTTTCTGAACACTGCTCAGGACAACCCTAAATCTCGTATAATAGTGTGTGTTGCACCAGAACAACTGGGAAAGGACTAAGGCATGAGTGACCCTGAGTGCAACCTTGCATGCTAAGAATGTATGCAGTTGGCGTACGTGATGCATTTATATAAAAGGGCTACTAACTATAGCTGTCCCCTGCTCAAGGAGGAACTGTTGAGTCCACAAATATCCCTAAATTGACAGAAGAATTGCATCCCCATCCAGATTCAGAATTCTCTAGACTTGGGAAGTTCTACAACTTAACGTCTCTCTGTCTTGCTAGGACTGAGTCCAGTTAGTGGGAAAGACACTTGACAATACCATATTTTTTTTAAATTTGATTTATATGCCGCCCTTCTCCGGAGACTCAGGGCAGCTTACAATGCGTTAAGCAATAGCCTTCATACTTTTGTATATTTATACAAAGTCAGCTTATTGCCCCCACAAACTGGGTCTTCATTTAACCTACCTTAGAAAGGATGGAAGGCTGAGTCAACCTTGAGCCTGGTAAGATTCGAACCTGCAGTAATTGCAGGCAGATGTGTTAATAACCACTGTACTACCAAGGCTCCTTGAGAAAGACACAGCTGTATCACCAGCAAACTTATTGTATTTAACCCTGTGCTTGTGGATGATCTCATCCAATGGCTTCATATAGATGCTAAATAGAGGTGGGGAAAGTCAGGCCCTGGGGTATCTCACAGTCCCTATGGCCAGACTTTCCCTCCCCGCAACACTGACTGGAAGACCCTATTTGCCTGAACTGCCTCAGCACCAACTGGTTTTCAGAGGGAGTTTGCAGAATTTCTCAAGGCTTTACTTCAAGCTTGACTGAAACCCTACTCACACCTTTGGATGAGAGGGTGACAATGACTTTAGATTGGATTGACTCCATACACCCTCTTTCTGTCTGTGGATCTTAGTGGATTCAGTAGTCTTTAGAAAAGCTCAAGGAGATGAAACAATAGGGTTGAAAATGAAGATGAGTCTGAATAAACACATATTAAGAGTCCATATTAAGGACTACATCAAGGCAGGAAGAGTGGCAAAACTTTATTTTTCCATTGTTATTGTATCTACAGAATGCTAGCCAGTGGTACTCTTTAAAATGACTCATTACTGGCCAGAGAACAAGCAGAAAAACATCTGTAGGGTTCCTATGACAATTATTTTAGACATCTGATGGGAAATTGCTCAGATCTGATTCCTATTACACAGCCTATGGAGCTGATTAAACCACTGTATTGTATGACTTACGTTAGTTTGAGCCCCCCTGCTTCACTTAAGGAAATGGACAGGTTCTGAATATGCTATCAGTTTATAAAACCAATGCCCTTCCTTATTGATTAATCCTCTCTAGGAATATGATTGAGTACAAGTAGCCATGAATTCAACAAGTTAAACCACTGGTTTTATCAGCCTATATGAAGATAATAGTCTGTCTCCTCAAGAAATCATCCTTAGGTTTAGTGTGTTGGATAATTACCCATCTACAACCTCCTCTTGAATTAATGCCACGTGCATCATGACTTTTATCATGCAAATTACATAAAATATGTAATTTGTCAATCACATCACAGAAATTACATACTTAATGTCATTTGCTCAAAGGCCTAATGGTGCATGTGAGGTTATCATGTCTTCTGTTGGATATCTATGGACTATGTCATTCAGCAGTATTTATCTTTCAAAAGAGATAATTATCTCAGATTAATGCATCAAGCTAAAAACTAGACATTGTGAGCCCAAGGCATAGATTTTCTTTTTGTTTACTATAAAGAAATGAGACATTCACTTCTATCCTCACCAGTACAATATATAATGAATTATTTTGGGTATTATGCTGACATTCTTCAGTCTCTCAGTATAATTGAGAATTTTTCAGTTATAGGACTTGAGTTGAGATTCCTATATACATACATTTTTCTTTTAGCGTTACAATTGAATACTGAACTCCCAGAAGATTGATAAATCTAGTAGGCAGGAATGCTGCTATGTAGCAAATGTGTCTGTGTGCTTGAAATAGAATTGAAAGAAAAATTTAGAGGTACTACAATTCAGAGAAAGTCCTGGCTTAGGCTTTTCCACTTTGTATTTCAAAACACCTCTTCTGATCACATTTTGTGTGGAAGGTTTTGTTTAATATACCACTCTTTTAATTTCTTGACAAGACTGTCAGTTTCCTTCAACAATCTGGATGATTTGGGGAATAATTTTGATTAGTACTCAGTAAAATAACAAAACATGGCTAAACAAATAAATCATAAAAATTAAGACTTGAATCTCCAATCCTGCCACAAATTCAGAAAAGCAACTGGGGTTTGGTTTTCTTACCAGTAGGGGATGCTGGAAAGGAGGGGATAGGGCAACAGGGAATCCACAACCCTGCTATGAAACTACTTGCATTAAATTGTGATTTCAGGAACACAGCCAGGTCTAAAGATAGGTTACGGGAGAAGTGCAATTAATGTTAATGTGCTTTCCCCTGACTTTTTCAATTTAAATATCATAAAATGTAGAGTAGGAAAAGGAGTTATAAAGTGTTATTTTCCATAAGAGGTCGAAATTAGTTCAAGAGCCAAAGGTTGCCCAACAGTATTTGGTCAGGCAATTCATGGTTTGCCCAATCTATGTACAGTAATTAGATTTGGCACAAGCCTTCCGTACTAAACCATGGGTCTTTTTAAAAGTGATGCCACTGTCATATTTTATGGGTGACATAGTGGAAAAGGGAAAGCCACTGTCAATTTCATCTTTCAACTACAAAATTTGGTAAATTTTTGGTTTGCCAAAAAATTAAGTGGTTGAAATTTCCCATCCCCCAATACAACTGCATAATAGACATGATAACTCTGAATATCAGTTCACCTTAAGATAAATCCTAGGATGCATTTTATAAGTAGAAAAATATTCTTGAAGAATATATATGATGGATTATATATTCTATGGAGTCACAATATTTTGTAACCCTTTTAATAATTTTAGGCATATAGAACAAATCTCAATTCCCCTTTGCATAATTCAGTGAGATAAAACAAAACTATTTCTATGTATATTTCTATCTGAACTGTTCTTGATTTTAATGTATTTCTTTTTTCTTTATAAGTTTATTGTTTAAACTCTTTATATAAGAATTTATAATTTACAATTCACAAGCTTTCTTTAGACTTTATGGAATAAATATATGACACTCAAACTCATTACTAAATATATGCATTCTACAATTCATATGGTTGATTCATCACTCTAAACAGAATTAGAAATATATAGGTATTTATTTATATTCTTTTTGAAATAATACTCTGGCCAAAGGCCTTTTGATAAATTCTGAAACTTACATAAATCTCATTTTGTGAAAATTTCTTTTCCAAATGACAATTAAGCTATTTCATATGCTTCAGTTATGTAGTATACTCACAAACCTGATATTCTGAACTTAATTGCTTTGTTTTAGTGGAATTTCTTAATACTCCAGGTTTTTTCTTTAACTTGATGTTATCTTTTCATAGTCTTTTCAGTCCTTCACATGATGAAAATGTAATTTGGAAAAGATAAAAAAAACATAGCAACACTGCATAAGAAATTATAGCTTACACGTTCTTGACCTTAGTTTCAAAACTGACTTGTTTAACATAATTTTTATGAAGAAACCTTCCATTTGTAAGTATGCTACTTATTCATGAAACACTATAGATTTTTTTCAGTTGTAGAAATAAGGCACAACTCCTGAGCTGTAAGACCCAAGACTGTTTAACCTATACTTATATTGTATCTTCCTTTAATATTTTCTTTTCAAACACCTTAATTCAAGTTATAAGAAAAGGGAAAAAAAAGTAGCATACTTGAGGTACTCAATTTCTGGTACTTCAAAAAGTGTAGATGGTTGAAAAACATTACTATATGCCACCCTATGTTTTATGGCATAGAGATCTTTAAAATAGTCTTCCACAGCTTATTATTTTCTTTGTTTTTTAGTTTTATCAGTCAGCCATACTTGACCTTCTAATGCATTCATGTGCCAATTGTAGAACATGTCTTTAAATTTTCAGAAAGATTCCATTTGTATTTCTTTACTTTGCAACTAGTTATATGCTAAAATGAAAAGAATGACCTTTTCCCTCTCTTAAGCATACACTTGTAGTACACTTCCAATAATGCCCTAAGGAACAATAGGTTTGCTTTCCAAAATAATATTGATTAGGTAGCTAGTGCAAGAAGACCATAAATGGGTGCAAAAACAATAGAAAAGTTCCAAATAAAAGATTTAAGAAGGAAATAAGCCACTAATACTGCATTTGTTTAATGGAAGGAATTAATGTATTTTTATACATTTTGTGTGGCTGCCATCCTCTAAGTCTTATCCATGTACAGAATTAGCTTTATAAAGTGCACTAAACCATAGCTGCTGAACCATGGTTTTCCACTTTAAAAAAATTAACTATCAAACCAAGTAAAAAAGGTTCTTTAAATTCTCCAATGGTTAGGTTAAAATAATATACCAAATGAAAGCCCAAGCATTTAATGGCTTAGCACAGTATTCAGCCCAACTGTACATGTGATACATTAGTGGCAATGGATTGTTTAACTTCCACAATGTCATTGTTATGACCTTGAAAGAAATCTGATATTAGATTACCGTTCCTGGTTTCCTGCAAGTAGTTAGTACTCTTTCACTTTAATTCTAAATCATTTATAACAGAAAATGGAGTTTGTGCAAACTGCTTGTGTAAACAGCTCTTCTGCATTTGAAGATATGCAGTATTATACAATACAACGAGCACTTTAGGAACAAAAAAGTTCAAAGAATGTGGAATTCTTTCACCTTTTTCCTGTTTAAGTTTTCATTCTCTGAAACTCACTGCAGTTAGAACAAAGGAATTATATGAATCATTGGTTCCTTTTCATTATATAGTGCTCTTCAAATAATTCAAACTGATTATCCTGTTGAGCAATACCAAGCAGTGTGCTTGTTTAGTAAATCTAATAAACCAAACTATTCCTAATTCCACTATACTATGATAGAAGGTATTATTCCTTGATATACATAGAATCTCCATACCATTAAAGCCAGACTAAACATTTTTAAGTAAATATGAAGTTTGCTGTAACAGACTTCTTAGATTGATTTCAGTTGTATTAATTTCAATGGCAGGGTGGCAGCTTAAATCCATATTTTAGCAGATCCAGATAAACTTTTAATTTTTCAATATATTGACAACTTTTCCACACACACAGTATATTACCATCAGAGATAGCCACTTTACAGTTCCACTCAGGACATGTTCATGCTTCTTTGCAGAATACACGGCAAGAATGCTCAGACATTTAGCATGTAAAACCAAAACTTAATCGTCATGAAATAGGCTGCTTTATCTCATTTTCTAATGGCTTTGACTGAGATGGTGCAACTAATGAATATTCCACTGTAGAATGATGACTGACATCCACTTTGACCAAAACTTCATAGTATAAAAGATAAAAAACAGGTGTTATAATGCCTACTACCACCATTATTACCACTGCTGTCCACCATCCAATTCCCCAGTCTGCACCATAATAAGGATCTTTCTGTCTGACAGGTTTACCATCTGGTTCAAAGTTCAATTGTTGGGTTGATAAAGCAGAAACAACTTCATTAAGATTTTCTCTTTTGGTAGCATTACACTTCACTATTTGTTCTATATCACGGTCCACTTCTTTCAAAAAGTTACCAGCTGTTTCAGTAGACAAGAACAACTCAGGTGCTAGTGATGAATCTGAGAATTCTGTGGAATATGAAGAGGCGGCAGATCTTGAATTCTGTCTATTTTTTGGAAAACAGTGTGTCTCCGTCAAAAGGCTGAACTTTTTAACTGGAATTTTAATAGTTCTTAGTGCAAAGAAGTCCTGATCTGTGATAAGATTGTTCACCCGTTTGATATCTGCTACCTGAAATGTTATAATAAAATAAATTAGCTTCATTTAAAAAGTTGACTGAATCACTCCTGTTACTTTCAACTCATTTTAAAAAAAAGAACCTGTTCTGTCAATATTGATACAAAGTCTTGCTTTCAATATCAAACTAAATTATGTCAAATAGTCAAACTGCAGATTACCAAGAATAACAAGTACCGGTTCTCCTTAGTTAACAGCTATTTTGAAGCTACTAAGTTTTTCTTTTTTTAAAAAAGTCAGAAAGGATAGAAGGGATGAATCACCATTTCTTGTGGGACAATTGTGGGAAATGAATCTAAAATAATCAGGATATGGCTGTGTGTTCAGGACTGGTTCTTAACATGTATGTTGTTGTTCACTTGATTTTGACTCAGCATGTAGTATAAAACCAATTGTGAATCAAGGTTAAAGGCCAGGTCAGTTTGCTTAAAAATTAATGACTGAATAAAATGCCTAAACAATTACAATTTAATCATAGTTAGGCAAACCATGGCTTGAAACAATGGCAATCTGAGTCACTGTTTTAATTTAAAATGCTACACAGATATAATATTCCATTTACATCCAGTCTAAATGCATTTAGTAAACTAATACTATTATCAAACAAAAATAACCACTGAATGTAAGAAAGCCATCTGAATAAGACCTTAACCTTTTGCACAAATAAGCATTTTACCTATAGTCTGCAGTAAAATTATTTGATCCTGTATATCTTGCACTTCATTTTTCATAGTTTAAAATCAATTAATTGTAATTAAAATCACAATATTTTATACAAAAATTCTTGCTATTTGTACAAATTCACATATACATACATACATACATACGACCACTAAGAGAAATATTTATACAAATATGTACACACACAGACTGACCACTAAGAGAAATATTTTAGAACATGAGGACAGGAACAAAACTCTTTTTTGCAATTCTTTAATGCAATCATTTCATTTCTTGGAAATTCAGTTGTCTTCCACAATTATTGCACTGAAGCTAAAGACATGAGATAGGTGCTACCTCTGACATCTTCCTGCATTGTAAAACATTCTATTTTTTTTTTTTTTGAGTCTAAAATTATGCACAGGACTAAACATTATTTCAGCTGTATTCAATATTCTTTCAAGAACATACAGCCCCATTTCATTATCTACTAGCCATCTGATTTAAGATAATTATACCATTGTATATTTCCTATTCTTAATTTTTTTTAGAAGTACGGTACCTTATGTATCCTTAAAAACTAATGAAAGAACTCTATAGTTTTACTTATATGTTTAAAAAGATACTTATCAATTTTTGGTAGTCTTAATTTTCCCTTCCCCCCAAATGCTAACTAGGTGCTAAATTTGGTAAGTTTAATAAAATTATTTTGAGTATCCCCTCCCCTTAATTCTGCTTATCTCATCAGGTAGCCCCATTAAAGTCCAACAAATAAAATATAACCACCAGCTGGAGGAAAGTTGACTTTGTATGAATAAAAATAAAGAATTCTAATCCTATACAATCTTCTAACTTTTGGAATTTTCTATATCAGTTTCATTAATATTGTTAGAGAAGAAAAATATTGAAATTTTAGCAATTACCAAAATTTATAATTGAAAAACCATATGCTTCTAGTTGGCAAACATATACTGTATATTTGTACAGTCCAGAATCTAATACCGTAAGTAACCTTTTAAATTGTGTTTATTGCATAATTTTATTTAAAACATTCTACATTTATGTGCCTCTAACATATGATACAATTATATGCAACTGGAAAAAGAGAAACTTACTGAACAACTATACTGAAGAGCTAATGCATTTAATGTATCTCCTTCTTGTATATCTTTAGTTATAAACACAATATCATCCATTCTTTCTCTTGAAGTGCTTCTCCGAGTTTTCTCTTTTCCCCGAGGTCGCAGTTCATATATTTCAACTTCATCTTCCAAAACATCACTGTCAGAACTAAGATTGTTCCCAAATGGATATACGTGGCTATCCACTGAAGTGGGCTGTACAACAGCTGGGAGTTGGAAACTTAAAGTCTGGCTTTTTCCTGTCATTCTACCAGGAGAAATCTAACAGTGAAAAGAGAATGAAAAGAGGGTAACTAAGCACAAATATTTTAAAAGATATATACACATTATTTCATTCAGCTCCCTATTGACATATTTATTCCTCTAGATAATAATTCAATGAACACAGATCCTTGGTTCATATTTTTTAAAAAAGATAATAGAAATAAACTGATGAGACAGCATTATTTCCATATAGGACTGGAGCTAGCTATAGCAGAAGAAAGCAGCTATTAAGACTAATACGTACAGAGTAAATCACGACCCAACTAGCAATATGATAAAAACTTTGTACTAGGATACATTCGAAACAGCATTAGACAGGTACCATGAACACTTGTTTGCAACAATCTTTGATCAAAATGTTTGAGAAGTCAGAATTCAAAATAAAGAGGCTTAGATAAGACATCTAAGAACACCCTTGTTAGTAACAAGTGTGATCAAAATAAACTGAATATATACACTCCTGCCTCCTGCAATTAGACATCAAAAGATTACTATGGATAAACAACTTCCAAGATGACCTAAAATCCCCGATATTAAATACAGGAAACCGGGCAATTGTTCCTTTCTTCTGGATCAAGGGCTGCACCTGGTCTCTGATGGCTATGCCACAGGCCCCTCTCCAAAAAGAGTTCTTCAGTTTTTGTGTTGCAAAAACTGAAGGTGAATTTCATTGACACAACTATTATTGTAACCTTAGTTAAAAATCAAATAGTTGCTGTGATGATTCACCGGTTGCATTTGTCACTATTTACATCTGGCAAGAAGTTCCCGACGTCTCCCGCATTGCTTTTGAAGCCTCAAGCACTTACACGTAGGCAGGAAGGAGGGAAATCCTCGGACCAAGGGAATCTCCAGATCCCACCACTATGGAAGTTATTGAAACAGTCCCACTAAGTAAAAGGCAAATGAAAACTCCCAGATGATAAACCCGTCATCTTGCAGGACTCCTCTTGAGCTTTAACAACAACAACAAAAAAAACCAGTAGCTGAAGCATTTCCCCACTCTAAGAATAGAAGGACAAGATACAACGTCCTGATGCCACGCATCAAAAGCCGGGAAACTGGAACAGGAAAATAGGATTCCAACGAAGAGGATGGGCGAGTTTGTGATGGAAAAAAAGCACCGGGGTCTGTGGCAGATCGGCAAAGCTGTTCAGTGCCCCCCACCCATCCCCCGCACCATCTCTCGCCCTCGGCATTTGACCAGCCCCCGCCCGACTCCAGAAATTATTTTTCTAAAAAACTGCCCTCCTTTTTGTAATACATACATACAGGCAGACTGGCAAGCAGATTACTTACCAATCTACCCAGGAGCGGCCATTTGCGGAGGGCGCGTTTTTCGGCGCCGGCTCAACGTTCTCCGCGGATGCCACTATGGGAAGCCTGGGAACTGAAACGAAATACGGCCGCTTTGCAAGAGCGAAAGCGCCCGCGCGTCGACAAGATGGCGGCCACTCTGCTCGCCTACCTCTCGTGAGATCTCAAAATCCCACGACGGCATTTTCCAAAATGGCAATACACTACTCTCGCGAGATTTCGCAACTACTCTTTTAGAGAGTTTTCCTCTCTCCCTCTCCCCAATAATTTCGTGATATTTGTGGTTGAAGTATTCTCCGCCCATAGTGTAGATAGTCGTTAGTATCGTGATATTACAGAGTTTTGTATACTGTACATCAGTGTTTTCAAATTCGGTTATTTTTAAAATGTGTGGAATTCTGGGTGTGGACTCCACACATCTTTGCTAAATTGTTTTAAAAGCACTTATTACAGCAACCTGATGTGTCTGTCTATTTGTTACTACGCACAGGAAATACTGTGAAGACTTAGTCTCCGTTTCAGAAAAATAGTACCGTACCATGAAGCTGAAGAAAATGCAGAAGAGATGAACAAAGTAAATATAGGAACTAAAGCATCTCCCCCAATAGAAAATAATTATGATAGTTTTTAAAGCTTAGAAGAAGTGTAAGAGGATGTGTATAAAAGTGCACGGGGGAAAAACATGAATCTTTTAGGCAGGGTTATCTAGCGAAGCTGAATTGTGGAAAATTAAGAACAGACTAAAGGACTCTCTTAGCATAATGTGTAGCTAATATGCATTGCTTCTATCAAAATGATATTCAGTCAGTGAATTTAATGACAGCTACGGTATTATTTCTTGTGCTCAAGTTGCTGGGGAAAATAGTGAAGGGGATATTATTGTGCTTTATTTGTTGCTGGTGTCCTCATAAAAGCTTTGTGTGTATGTGTGGTGTTGGGGATACTCTTCAACCTGAAATCCATATAGTTTTCTTGACATTGCCCTGTCTCTAACTGAAATAAAATATGAATGTTCAGCTGCACTAGCTGTTTCTTCCTTCTTTTGTTCCCAGGCCTCTTTTTGAAATCTGTACTTTAAACATTTCTAGAGTAAATTTTAAATTTTAGCTGGAATTGTTGGTTAATACAATGCAATTCCATTTCACAAGTACATAGGAAAAAGTGAACAGCATGTGTGAACAACTAGGAAGCCTACAAAGAAAATTAAATTTTATTTCAGTGGTGTAGATACACTTCTTGGTTGTTTCTGCAAGATTTAGCAAGATACATGAACTCATAAGCATCTATGCCAGAGATCTGAAGCAGTTTTCATAAAGAAAGCATTCAACCACAATACTGTATTTAAAAAATGGACAGCTAACATCAAAAACGTCATCAAAAAAGCACAACAAATGATATTCTTTCTGTGCCAACTCAGAAAGTTCAAATTGCCCAAGGAGCTGCTGATAACAGTTCTACAGAGGAATGATTGAGTCTGTCATCTGCACCTCTATAACTGTCTGGTTTGGTTCTGCAACCCAACAAGACAGACACAGACTTCAGAGGATAATTAGAACTGCAGAAAAAACAATTGCTACCAACCTGCCTTCCGTTGAGGACCTGTATACTTCATGAGTCAAAAAGAGGGCTATGAAAATATTTACAGATTCCTCGCATCCTGGACATAAAGTTTCAACTCCTACCCCCAAAACGACACTAATATAGAGCACTGCATACCAGAACAACTAGACACAATAACAGTTTTTTTCCAAACTTCATCATTCTGCTAAACAAATAATTCCTTCAACGCTGTCAAACTATTTACCAAGGCTGCACTACTATTAATCTTCTCATCGTTCCCACCACCCATCTCTTTCCACTTATGACTGTATGACTGTAACTTTGTTGCTTGTATCTTTATGATTTATATTGATAGTTTTCTGATTGCTTATTTGTGCCCTATGACTATCATTAAGTGTTGTACCTTATGATTCGTGATGAATGTATCTTCCTTTATGTAAACTCAGAGCATACAGTATGCACCAAGACAAATTCCTTGTGTGTCCAATCACACTTGGCCAATAAAAAAATATATTGTAAAAAGATAGTAACAAGGACATATATGACTTATCTGTGTAAATTATTGCAAAAATATAGTTTTATGACTGGTCAAAAAAGCTAATAGAAATTAGTACAGCAGCAAATAAATTTGAGGAAAGTAAATGCATATAATACCTTGGCACTAATTGTTGTAAATAATTATTTACCAGACCATTTTTTAAAAAGTTTTGGATGATAACGTAAAAGACAAATTAATTTCAACATTTCTTCTCTTTATAATTAGGATTTGTCAACTTTTGAATTGAAAACCAGAGGTGGTGTTCATCAGGTTCTGACCAGTTCTGGAGAACCGGTAGTGGAAATTTTGAGTAGTTCGGAGAACTGGTAAATACCACCTCTGACTGGCCCCGCCCCCATCTATTCTCTGCCTCCTGAGTCCCAGCTGATCAGGAGAAAATGGGGATTTTGCAGTAACCTTCCCCTGCCATGCCCACCAAGCCACGCCCACATAACCGGTAGTAAAAAAAAAATTAAATCCCACCACTGCTGAAAACCCATCATGCTTGGAGAGGCAAAGAGACCACTCTCAGAACTCAGTTTAGGCCTTCTGACTAATTGTACCTATGCAAACTCCAGCGAGTAGTTTTGTTGCCAGACAGTTTAAAAACAATAATATAGTTATTTCTTGCCTAATGTTAATTCTAGCATAGTTGCTTCTTCTGAATATGTATTGATTTTAGAGAATTATGCTCTCACAATGTTTGAGAAGTGTGCTTTAAACAGAATCTACAGTATGGAGTTAAATATTACTAGAGCTATGCACTTCTATACTAAAAGGACCTACCTCACTCCCTTCTTTTAACCATTTGTACCTAGTGACATTTTCCCATCAGTGTACAAAAGAGTATATTTCCAACTTGATGAACAGGACAGTAGCTGCACAACCTGTGAATACTAATGTAGATGCAGTCTTTCTCATTCTTGATGTAAATTACTTCATTTATCTGAATGCATGTTAAATGAGTTAGCAAGGGCCAGTATTAATCACAGCATGACACCTGTATGTGCAAGTATTTTAGAAACTTACTCATTGTGAGCAGGATATAAAAACCAACAGCAAATGCAAAATCTGAATAAGAACTATGCATACTATTAAAACAACTACATAAAATGGAAATCAAAAAAAAATTTTGCTATAATTCATTTTAGTTATCAACTCAGACTCTTGGGGTTTTTTTGCCTGCCAAGTTATTTTTGTGTTTTGTGAACCAAATTATATCCACTTATTTCAGCAGTCTTACATGTTTTCTCCTGCCAAATGGGTTAGGATTATTGATCAATGATTGGCAGTTACTTCCACAAATATATGTACCTACTCTACAATCCTAACAAGGATATTACCCTCAATCCATTACCTCTACAGTGAGCAAAAAATATTTTGGACATAAACTTTTAACTAGAGGCAAGTAAAAAATGAACAAGAATCTTAACTCATATTAATACAATTGAGTGTGTGTGTGCTTTAATTCTGGTTTCACTACTTTTTTATTCTATTATTTTTCCTTGGTCATTGGAACTAATATATAGCCAAAAACATTCCTTAGCCCACCAAAAGCTTGCCTGCTCTTCAATGTGGTCTCTTAGTTACCCCTCTGCATTTACAAATATTATAAATGATTAGAATAAGTTGGTTCATACCTGCATACAGGTAAAACTGTTGACAAAACTATTTGACATAGTGTCACTGTACTATGAAGTAAGTTTATTTCCAATTAAGTATTGGATTAAGTATAGGAATTGCAACCCTGTGAGCTGTCCAGAATCATGTATATGAGATGAATGGCTTATATACATTTAGTACATAAATAAATAAATCTATACGTTTAAAAATATTTAATAAAAATATTGAGAAGTGAGAAAATTCCTAAATAGTTAAGTGCAAGAGACTTTTCTAACAATTTTAAAAGCTTTTTTGAGGGATTTTTAAGCAATTTGCTCCACTCTCATATTCTATTCTTGTGTTCTCTTTGTCTTTTTATTAGATTCATCTTTATGGCAATCTGCTTTAGAAGTTCTTAAGTTCTTTTCACATAGTGTCAGGAATGTTAATACCAGGATCTTATGATTAGACTTTCCACAAGGAAAAAGTAGTAACATTACTTATTGCACACAGGAGTTTACAAGGTCTTAATATATGCTTACAGGGTGGAATGAACTGATGGAAAGAAACAACAAATTTCTTTCATTAGTTTTGTCTAAGCTCCTGAATAATAAATCTTAAAAGCTTCAATATTGATTCAAAGAAATGAATGGCTGAATCGCTTTGTAAGGGTCTTAACAATTGGACAAATGCTTCCATGGTTACCTTGTGCTATGTAATGCGGTTGCCCAGCATTGTTGGTTTCCTCCCTCCACTGTTGAAGAAAAATAACAAACTGCAGGGAAGTGCCACACAGGGGGCACATAAACAAGAAGCATCATAAAACATCAAGATCTGGACAATCTGACACAGATATCAGATAGGCTGGTTTTATCTAGTATATTCAAGAAAAAACACTGCATCATCTAAATGGAACCTTTTAATAATTTGTTTAGGCCAATGTATCATTATACCTAAATGTCATTAATTACCACTTAACACTTGACAAATAAGATACTGTACTTTTTCAACTGAAATGTTTCCATTGATTGAAGAGTTTAGCTTCAGTTAATATTTTTACATTATTAATGGTTGAAATAAATTTATTTACAATGATAGAGAAAACTGAGGGAATAAAATCAATTTTGGTTTGCATTTTTATTCCATGTATTAAAGTCTAAAAATCCATGCACTGCAATTGCATTGGTCAGTGAATAAAGTACATTGTCTAATGGTGCTAAATATCTGACGAAAACTACAGTATGGTCTAAATTGGTCTGAATATCAGTTTTAGAGAACAAATAGAGGACTGGCCTGTGAGCTGCCAAGAATATATGACTAAACATTCACAGAATGTGAACTAGATGGTTTTTGGTCAGATCCCTATATGGTCAGAATGAAAAAATCCAGCAAGAGTTACAATACTATGCCTATACAATTTATGAGGCATGTACCTTGTTAAGTGGAT